TTTCACGGGGACCATCAAGAGAATAAACAAAAATTAAAAGAAGCAGCTCGTCTTTGGATGAACCATCTCCCTCCAGACGAGCTTAGCATGTTGGCTACTGAATCCGGTCTCGCCGATTGGGTCACATTTTGCTCAAGGCCGTGACTGACCACATGCGGGAGCTTCCCATCAGGTTTTCCTGCTCCATTTCTGGACCTACACCCCGAACCAACAACCGGGAGTATGGGAGGGCCCATGGCTAAGGGGGCTGTTTCCCCCTTGAGGTCTTCCTGCTTTCTCCTCTCTTCATTTAATATCTGTCTTTTCCCAGTGGATTGTAAACTCCCCGAGGGTAGAGATTTACTCTTATTCTCTGAAGAGTCCTCAGCCAAAGCTCAATAAGTACGGATGGCCAGATCAGATGCATAAAACCCGGCTCGGGATAGCAGGCATGGGCTTGCAGGCTGTGGGACCTTGGGACGTCCCCTGACCTGGCTTTGCCTAAGGTCATTGCCTGGCTGCCAGCTTCTCCTCCTGGGATGAGGAGCAGAGCTGGAAATCCACAGGGTCAGTGTGCTAGCAGCCTAGGCATGGCCGAGGGGTATTTGCTGGTCCTGCACAGTTCACCCTCGTGCATTTGGTAGGTGGGCTGGAGGGGGCTGGGCTCATGAAAACTGCCCAGTAATTCAGGGTGGGCTGGCTGGAAGAGGTGACCCCCTGACAAGGTATTGGCCAGCAAAGGTGCTGGAGGCCAAGGTGGAGTGAGGAGAGCATTGCAAGGAAAGGGAGGAGCCTGGGTAAAGGACAAGGGTAAGGTGAGAACCAAGGTGGGAGGGTGGAGTGGGGATGGAGCCGACAGCCATCTTGTCCCCCCATCCCCTATGCATCAGAACCTCTGAGTGCCTGGTCTGCAGGACACCCTGGAGAGTCCTTCATGGACTGACAGGACCTTCTGGTGACTCGGGGAAGCACAAATAGCACAGGACAGTTTCAACCCACTGAGCCAGTGGACAGGCCTGACTGGCGCGGATGCCGGAGGAGCTGCGGAGAACGTCCTTCCGGATGGAAGGTCTCATTCTGAGCGTTTCCTGCTCTCGATCTGTGGCTTTCAAACCACGGTTTTCCTGGGTCATGAGGCGGTCGTTGGCCCCAACCATCTGATCCCCAAGGGGTAGCCCCAACAGGCCCTGTTCTGTGTGCCTAGAGAACCAGGAAGATGGGGGACTCTGGGTCACTCGGGATTGCACACCCCCAGCCCGGTGTCACTCACGGTGTAGGGCCTCATATTAGAGCTTCACCACTCCCTGGTTCTGCTCCACGGCGCGTGCCCGCGGGCAGGCCCAAGCGGCCAGAATCTGATCGATTTCATTAAAACACAGAGGCACAGACTGAGGAATGCCACCCAGCCAGAAATATCAGGTTATTAAGATGCTGCTTTCAGGAGCGGGGGGTGGGGCTGGCAGGTAGTGTGGTGGTTAAGGCGCTGGACTCCCATATGGCTGACTGTGGTTCGAGTCCCAGACCTGGCGGCTTGCTTTCTCACTTGCCGTCTCTCTCTTACTCTGTCTCTCTGGTGAGCACACATGCCCTATAGCAAACTTAAAATAATAATAAATAAAATGTTTAAATCATTCTTTTTTTAAAAAAAAGATGCTGCTTTTAGACATTGGCTTTTCTGTGTTCCCTCCTGGCACTAATCTTCCCATCAGATGTGATGCCTGAAGACCTCTGGGTGCCTGAGCTGTGCGGTGGCCGTGCGAGCCCCTTCCAGCTGGGCAGAATGAAGAAGCTGCTCTGGGAGCAACGGAAGGGCTATTTTACGTTGCTGACCGCCAGGTCCTTAGTTCTCTGATTGATTGCTGGAAATTCCCTTGCTGTGAGGACAAAGCATATGCTTATCTAGATGTTGTAGCTATATATATATATACACACACATAAATTGTGGGCCAGCCAGTGGCATGGTGGCAGAGACATCTGGGCCTCACATGGCCGACTGAGCAGTGTGAGTCCTGACCCTGGTGACTTGAAAAACATGCTGGAGGGACCAGCAGTTAGCATAATGGCTATGTTGCTGAACTCCCACATAGCTGACTGTAGTTCGAGTCCCGGACCCGGTGGCTTAAACTCACGCCAGGTGCATGTGTGTGCGTGCCCAAGATCCCGAGAGGAGAATGGAGGAGAAGGGATTGCGGTGTGACCATCCCCCCGGAGGGTGATTTCTTGCTTTCTGTCTCTGTCTCTGTCTTTCTGGTGAGCGCACTCACCCTATAGCAAAAACCTCTCCAAAAAGAAAAACATGCTGGGCGTGTGTGCATGCATGCCCCAAATCCCAAGAATAGAATGGTGGAGAAAGGATTCTGGTGTAGGCACTGCCCTGGACTCGCTTTCTCACTCTCTCTCTATCTACAGCAGGCACACGCACCCTATAGTATAAATAAGAAAGAAAAAATATATATAAATATATAAAATATACATATTTATTTGTATATATATACTCGCTATAAATATGTATGCAGCTGTATGTGTGTGGGTTATAGAATAATTTAGACACTTACAGGAAGACAAGTAAAAATACCTCCTCATACCCCGTTGGATCCATTCCCCAGAAGAAACCACTGCGTGTGGCGATGGGATTCTTCTAGACATGTTCCTGTGCGTTTACATGGTAAACAGTGGCCGTGTGCTCACACATTTATAGCTGGGTTTTCACACGGAGGGTGTAGCCGTATCCGGTGACTTGGCTTATTTACCTCAACATAGCTTTCATTCTTCTCCGTTCTTTCAGATTAGGATAGAAGATTCTGCAGGGTGGGTGTGAGCTGTTGGGCTCAGGATAAATGTCTAGGTTACTTCCCTTTTTGTCATTACCAACACCCCTGCAGGGGCTCTCTTGGCTGCAAGTAATCTTTGTGCAAGGGAATTGATATCTTTATAGAACAGATTCCGAGGCATAGAAAAATGGGATCTGAGATAATACGCATATTACATTTATAAATAATTATTTTATTTATTACTATCATTATTATTATTATTTAATTTGCTATAGGGCATGTGTGCTCACCACAGAGAGATAGAGAAAGAGCGAGAGAGAGAAAGAGAGAGAGAAAGTGAGAGAGAAAGTGAGAAAGCAAGCCACCAGGTCCAGGACTCGAACCGTGGTCAGCCATGTGGGAGTCCAGCACCTTAACCACCACGCCATCTTGCTGGCCCCACATATTACATTGTGATGGTTTCTGCACAGCAGACCTCCCGTAAGGTTATTCCAGTTTCCACCCTCACCTGCAGCTATGGCAGCGTCCTGTTGCCCACGCCCTTGTCAAAGCTGGATCATGTCATCGAGACACGAGTTTCCAGTCTGACGGGAAAAATCTGAACCCACCGTTGTTTTATTATGAATAAACTGGAACATCTTTTCCTACGCTTATTGGCCATTGGTATTTATTTTTCTCTAATTAGCCTGTTCATATACTGTAATGATTTTTAGTTGTTAGGGGCTCTTAGGTACTTGGAAATTTTTTTTAAGGAATTATTTATTTAGTTTATTTATTCATTCAGTTACTCTAATTTGACCAGAGAGAGAGGGAAAGTGAGAAAGCTACCAGGTCCGGGACTCGAACCGTGGTGGGCCATGCAGGAGTGTCTAGCACCTTAACCGCCACCTGCTGATGCCGCTCCTTTGGGTATTAATGTCTGTTGTAGATATTTTTCTCTCAGTGTATTGCTTGTCTTTTATCTTATCTTTTTAACGGCTTCTGTTTGCCAAAGGGAAGTTTTAAATATTTATGTGGAAGAATTTGTAGAAAAGATTAAGGAATTTAAATGGATTTGGACTGGTGATTGGTCCCTGCTTTAGCTTGCCAGATGTTTCTGGGCTCCCACGTAGCTGACCGCAGTTCAAGTCCCAGACCTGGCTGCTTAAAACTCAAAACCAGGTGCGTGCGTGCCCGAGGTCCCGAGAGAATGGAGGAGAAGGGATTGCAGTGTGGCCATCCCCCCCCCAGGAGTGATTTCTCACTTTTTGTCTCTCTGTCTTTCCCTGGTGAGTGCACACGCCCTATAGCAAAAATCTCTCTTAAAAAAGAAAAAACAATTTCAGAGTTAAATAGATCCACAGACACTCTTCCTTGTATATCCCCAACGCGTGGGTGCTAAAAGAATGACTGTCACTGTGTCGTGAGTTCTAGAAATCGGTGATAGTGCAGAGAGGTTCCCAAGCATGGAAAGATGGGGACCACCAAGGCAGAGGCCACCCATGGAAGGACAGATGGCTGGGACGCTCTAAGCTTCCGGAAACAGATCGGCATGGCTTCCATCTATCTTCTCTCTCAGGGAAAAGGGGCCGTTTGAGCCCTCGCTATCCTCACTGTCCCCTAGTCTTGCCAGGGGCCAAGGACACTGGGATTGACAGCGCAACCAGACCCTCCCAGGGTGAGGGATGGTCTACACTAGCAAGAAGAGGGGTGTTGCATGGACAGACACAACAGATTGCAGGACCCACACCGGAACCCAGAAGACGGAGGTGGAGAGAGCTGGCCAGAGTGAGAGGAGGGAGCATGAGGCAGGAGTCTGGCTCCCCTGTAAAGCAGCCTTTGAGGGTTCACGAGCCATGCCTGTGACAGGCTCCAGGAGCCCCGAAGCACAAAGTAGATGGTGTGGATTGAGATGTGTGTGTTGGAGCCCGCGTGGCACATGGCAGGTCCCCAGTAGATGCCAGTGTCCCTCCAGGTCACGGGTGCTCCAGGATGAGGTGACCAGGTGAAGGGAGCTGGTGCAGGCCCTTCCTGTCACCTGCCTGAGTGTGACTGTCACACTGACGGGTGGACACACGTGGAGGGCGGGGTCTCAGCATCGGGAACCAGGCGGAGCACAGCAGGGGCTCCGGGAACACGTCAGGACCCAGGAGCTGACTCCTCACTCCGTGGAGGGCCTCCCAGTGCTCAGGGGAGGATAGTGACTCCGCGCGCCCCGCCGCTGGCCGGCGCCCGTGCCTGCACACCGCGACCGGCTCTCTCTCCCCGCAGTGCACCTGATCCCCGTGTCGGTGTCGGCCAAGAATGGAGGGAGCGGCAAGAGTCGGAAGAGGATCATGCCAGACCCCGTGACGGAGCCCCCTGTGACCGACCCCGTCTATGAAGCCCTTTTATACTGCAACATCCCGAGTGCGGCCCAGCACAGCATGGAAGGTAGGCCTGGCGCTGCCACCCAGCCGGCCCCTGGCAGGCCCTTGGGGACCTAGTTCTTGAAGCAGCATAGCTGTGGTCAGGAGCCAATCGCCTGGGATCACGTCCTGCAGTTACCACCAGGCGGCGCCTTGGAGTGATGTCTGGGCATAGAGGTGCTGGAAAACCCAATTCTGTTATTTTACTTTTCAGAAGGTGTATCAGAGGATAATGAAGATGTATTTGTGCCCTGCCTTATCTCGTGAAGGATTTAAAGCTGAAGCCATGGTTTCGAGTACTTCCTTTTTTTAAAATAATTTTTTTATTTTATTATATTTATTATTATTATTATTATTTAATTTGACTAGGGAGAGAGAGAGAAAGCAAGCTGCCAGGTCCGGTACTCAAACCATGGTTGGCTGTGTGCGAGTCCAGTGCCCCAACCACCATGCCACCTGCCGGACCCCATTTCTAGTACTTCGGTGGGCTTCCTGAGCCTGTGCATATGAGGAGGCCGCATTGGTAGTCACACCCATGTTTCACTGACTTCAGCCCCCCAGCATGCCTCAGGGCGTCCCTGCTGTTCCTGGGGTCTCTGGGAAGTCACCATCAGCTCTTGCACGGTCCTCTGTCCTGCCTCAGATGCTCAGCACAGCGGCCCCTCCCACAGCCAGGGCCCTTTGACAGGGCTCTGCAGCCTCTCCGACTGCGCCTCCTCTGACCCCCAGCTTGGACGCGGGCAGGTTGACAGCCGGCCCGCCTCTGTTCTGAAAGGATTATCACCTGCTGAGTGCTGACTGGACGCTGTGCTTCTCCCACAGGTCACGCCCCGCATCATTTTAAGCTGGTCTCTGTGCATGTGTTCATTCGCCACGGAGACAGGTACCCACTGTATGTCATTCCCAAGACAAAGCGACCAGAAATCGACTGCTCTCTGGTGGCTAACAGGTAAATTGCAGCTTTTGAAAAGTAATTTTCAGGAATCTGGGGGCTGGAGGATGGCACAGCAATACAATGCTACGTTGCAAGGCTGACCCTCATGGGGAGGTTCTGGGTTCGCCTCCAGAGACTTCCGTAAGTATGCTGAGCACACACGTGCCTGTGATCCAGGGCTGCCGGAGGCCGAGTGTGGATTACAGTGTCAAGACTCTGTCGGGGGTCCTGTCTCTGTCTCTTTCCTTTTTCCTCTCTCTTTTACTTGTCAAAGAAATAAGTACACATTTAAAAAGGAATCTCCTGTCTCCTGTACAGGAGAGTTATAGGCAGGGAGTGACCTGCACTCTAGCAAGCACCATTTGCAGGAGCCTGACCTCAGAGCAGTCCTGCATGGGAAGGCCATTGTAGTCGGAAAGATCATGCCCACAGAGGTGGGGACTCCCGTTTGAAGCAACACAGCAGCTGCACTGAGCTTTGAGCCCAGGTCTCACTAAGGCCCACTCTCCCGCATGCTGGTCTTCCGGTAGACGAGCAGTTTGGGCACAGTGCAGCGAGCCCTGGGCTGGAAGATTCCGGCCCTGCTCGGCTGCTCCTCTGGGAGCAGCAGGCAAGTCCCTCCGTCCCTCTGAGCCTCAGCCTCTCCTCTCTGACATGGGGAGGACATGCTCACCGTGGGGTCGGGAGGGAATGAGTGAAACGATGCGGGGGAAGGCACGCAGGCAATTGCAAAACCACGTACGTGTGAGAGATTATTTCAAGTTTTAATTTCTCATGGGAGTAGAGACAGCCCCTTCTCAGTCAAAAGCCCTTAGGAGGAAAAATAATTAAGCAGAGAATGGAAACTGTGTGTATAGAAATGGCACAGCCCTAAAACGAGAGGCATAGTTAGCGGTAAAGCGACGGCCAGGCCTCGGCAGAGGTGTCTGGGGACACATAACCTCCCGAGCAGAGTTTATGGAATGAGGTCAGGAGACCGAGGGAGGTGCTTGGTGAGGAAGATGTCACTTTGATGGAATGCTTCTGGGGTGCCAGGCTGCCCCGAGCAGGCCAGTCTGGTAGAACCGTGGACTGCCTCACTGCAGCTGGGCTATTCTTTGAAAGCAGACCAAAACATGACCGGGCGTTTCGGGATAACTCGACGTCTCTAGCCCTCTCACCATCCGGGACCATGGGGAAGATTACATATAAGCCATTATATGTAAAACCTGAAGTACCATGTGACCATAGGCCTGTCTGTGCTGCTTTACTTCACGCTGGAGGTCACGGTGCTTGCAGCCAGGCTGTTCGTCTTCTTTCTTACATTCAGCAAACGTGAATTTATATCCTAGCATCTCACGGGCTGGAAACACTCTGGGTGGAGCCTGGCCCATGTCGGAGAGCCATGCAGACCCTGCCTTCTTGCTCCAGGCCAAGCCCCCAGCCTGTTCCTGGCTTCCCACTGAGCCCCTCTGCTCCTGCCCACTCCCTACCAGCCCCTCACCCCTTCATGCCTTTGTACCCACCAGGTCTCCCTTGTCCCCATTTTTCTGCTCAGAGCCCTCCAACAGCTCCCTCCTCTAGGACTCCTCCCTGTGTCCACTCGGTTGTTTCAGGCATGGGCACCACCTTGCTCACATTGAAAGGGGGATATACAGGAAGAGTCTCAGAACAAACAGGGGCCAAGGCAAAATATCTAACAACCAGCCTGTAACTGGCTCTAGAACTGGGGCACGGGTGGAGGTCACTTGTCATGCTCTGCATTGGCCCTTCAGTTTCTGCCTCCTGGGGACATGCTGGAATGTCTGGGGTAGCAGGAGGACACGTGGGTGGGGGTGGGGGTGTAGCTGGGGAAGTGGCTTTCCCCGTTGGGCCCAGCAGGGTCTGCAGGTATTGACGGCTGGTGCAGTCTTACCATTGCCCACCAGCTGGGCATCACTTAGTCCTTGAGCAGCCAGAGGAGAGGTAGCTGGTTGGGCGTCTGAGCTGGCACGACCCAGAGCAGCCTCCGGGACTTTGTTGACAAGAACATGCTTCAACCCTAGCAATCCCTGACTTCTTCATCTTCCCTTTCTCTAGCTGGGTTTTAAGTTTTAAGTGAGAATTCATTGACTTGTCTAAGACCAAAGGTCTGCGCCCCAGACCAGTCAGCTGTTACTAGAAGGTCCCTGGGCACCACTAGGCCTCTGGGGTCTCACCATGTCTGTTCCCAGAGAATGGGAGACCCACTGAGCAAGATCACCTGGCAGAGTACAAGGCCCCCTTTTACCCCAGCACTGTGCGGCTCGTGGTCCCCACACGGTTGTCTCTGCCCTCCCTGACCGGGGGCTCTTTCAGGCTTCACTCCTCCCTGTCACGGGTACCCAGCTCAGAGCCTGCCGTAGAGCGGCTGATGGACGATGGGTTGTTTGCAAAGTGGATTCAGGACCTCAGTGCGAATCGCGGGCCTTGATTACCGACTCGGGTTCCCGCGCCTCCAGACCGAGTTAAGCCTCAGCCATGGACTCCCTTGAGGCCTTTGCAACCTGTTTGATGTGGAGCAAATCGTTTCTCTGAGCCTCAGTGTTCTATGCTGGAACATGGGGATAATGATACCTCCCTGACAGCACTCCAGTGAAGTCCAAATAAGACTTCGTTTTTCCTCGTCCTCAGAACGTGGTGAGCAGCAGCCTGGAGGCCTTCTGGGCCCGGTGTCTTTCCCTCTCTGCACTGGATGTGGTCAGGAGCCAGGCTGGGTTCCAGGCCCCTCATTCTGTCACAACCACAGCAGGACCCTCTGGTGGGTCCATTTCCGGAGCTCCATTTGACAGTGTCAGTTCCCAGAGACCATTTGCTTGGCTGTATCTGTCCTCATTTTCCTGGGCCTGCTTTTACCTTATTGAACATCCTGTATTTTTTTTTAGAACTATTTATTTATTTAACTTTATTTGTTACTATTATATAGTGAAAGAGAGCGAGAAAGGATAGGGAGAGAGCAGGTTGCCAGGTCTGGGACTTGAACTGCAGTCAGCTATGTGGGAGTCCAGCGCCCTAACCACCAGGCCACCCACCAGTCCCGAACACCCTGCCTTTTTAGAAGCTACCCTAGATCCTTTCTGGGAAGAGGGTATGCATGCTTAATTGCTTACTGTCATTTAATCCCATCTGTAACAGCGATAGAAGGCAACTTGTCATTACGAGCACGTACTCCGAGCAGGAGCGAGCAAGCGCCCAGGGAGAGGACATACTCAGGGCCGCCAGCTCCCTGGGACCGTGGGACACCAGCGGTGACCGCTTACTACAGGTGTTGCCTCCGTGTCGTAAACAAGTAGTTCGGTGGCCTCGTCTAAGGTGGGGAGCCCCGGAGGGTGCCCGCTTCTCTAGTCCACTGAGAGGGAGGGTGTGGGCCGGCAGGCGGGGGTGCTTGAGCTGAAGGAGGCAGGAGCTGTGGTCCCGGAGTTCTCACCCCGGCACAGCCCACGGCTCCTGAGTTTGCAGGCGCTACCGACTCATGGGCGGCGTGCTTTTATTGGAAAGGTGCTATTTCAGCCCTCGTGGTACTGTATTTAGCCAACGTTTTTTTTTTTTTTTTGAGAGGGTTTTGCTATAGGACGTGTGCGCTAGAGAGAAAGACAGAGACAGAGAGACAGAAAGCGAGAAATCACCCCCCAGGGGGGATGGCCATGCACAATCCCTTCTCCTCCATTCTCCTCTCGGGATCTTGGGCATTTACGCACACGCGCCCGGCGTGAGTTTAAGCCACTAGGTCCGAGACTCGAACCACGGTCAACTACGTGGGAGTCCAGCGACATAGCCCTTACGCTAACTGCTGGTCCCATTAGCATACATTTTTAAAAATCTGTGGTGCACACAGGAAGGTTCTGGGTTCACATCCAGAGGCCTCTGTGAACACCGGGACACACACGTGCCCATGGATGGGACTGGCCAGGAATGACTGTGGCATGAGGGCCCTGCTGGGCCCTTCCCTCTGTCTCTGTGTGTGTCTCTCTCTCATGGTGTAGGAGAGTTGGGTGGAGGGTTCTAAGTAGGTCTTCATGAGAATTCACCTGTGGTGTGAATTCATCCCATTTTCCAGTCATGTAGGCTTTTGTGAATTGTGTTTTCTGGTATCAGGCCGTAACGTTCTGTGTGGGACTCAGTAACTGCTCACATCACAGTTCAAGCACAGTACCATTTTCCATGGGTTGTGTACGTTAGGCTCATGGTTCTGTCTTGAGTTTTGTGGCATAGATGGGTGTGAACGATGCACATTAAAAGGTAGGTAGAAAATGGAAGTGAACGACTAGAAGGCTTAAGATAGTAACACTGTGATTCTTTTATTTTCAATATGAAACCCGACTTCCAGTGATGCTACAACAATGTGAGTTTTTCCTGGAGAAAATTTTGTCCTCACATATAATCATTCCTCTATTAGTCAGGGTAAGGCCAGACTGTTGTAACAAAGATGCTCAAGAATACATTGCCGGGGCCGGCAGGTGGCATAGTGGTTAAGGGCATTGGACTCCCACATGGCCGACTGTGGCTCAAGTCCTGGACCTGGCAGCTTGCTGTTCTCACTTTTCCTCTCTTTGTGTTTCTCTCTGTTCAAATTAAAAAATAATGATAATAATAAATAAAGTTGAACAAATAATTCTTTTTTAAAAAGAGAAAATTAGGACCAGCAGTTGGGTAATGGCTATGTCGCTGGACTCCCATGTAGTTGACTGCGGTTGGAGTCCCAGACCCAGTGGCTTAAACTCACGCCGGGCGCATGTGCGTGCGTGCCCAAGATCCTGAGAGGAGAATGGAGGAGAAGGGATTGCAGCATGGCCAGTTCGAGTCCCAGACCTGGTGACTTGCTTTCTCACTTTCCTTCTCTCTCCCTCTGTCCCTCTCTGGTCAAATTAAAATAAATGAATAAATAAATAAAGTAATTCTTTATTTTTTTTAAAAGAGAATACATTGCCTTACATCATAAAGTTCGTCTCTGCTTGAGTGAAGGTCAGGGGATGAGTATTCCAAGTCTGTGGCTCGGCTCCACCTCATCATTCAGGGCCTCAGGTTCCTTCCAGATTGTTGCTGCCGCCTTCCATCCTAGGGATGTCTGCATGGTTGAACCCAGCTTTCCATGCCTAGATAGTGGCCAAGGGAAAGGGAGGTGATATGAAGGGGGCACACTCCCGATCTGAAAGCTGCACCCAGCAGTGGTACACAGCCTTCCACTCTCTTGGCGAATACTTGGTCATGTGG